CTTGAATACTTTTGGATAATAATAGTTGTACACCAGTTTTTTAGATGTATCTAATCTAACCATCAATGAGTAAACAATATCGGATTAGGTAATGATGGCCATGTTGATCTTTTGGAGGGGGTAAACTATAATAGACAGAATATTTAAAACTGTACAAGCTTGATATTTGAATAGTAAACTTTGGTTTACAAATGTATAGCTTGATGGTATTTGTACCTTTATTACTTATAACTGAAAAAAGAAGATATATCAAGTCTGTAACACAATTTTTATCAAATCTTCAAAGTAAATCATAACTTTTTCAAAATCTTTGCTCAGTGCCTTTAATAAATTTAATATTAAAAAGATATCACTTTGCTTTTGATAAAACTCTATAAATGTTTAGAGTCAAGTTCGTAAAAGAAAACTTGACTAGTTCAATTACAAATTTTAGAATTTATTGGAAATCAATTAATAAATAGAAACTATAGTTTATTAAAGATCATAAAGAGACTCTTTGAAGATTAATTTTTAAGCTCAAGACAGAATTTAGTAATTTATAACTAAAATCAAATACCTTATTTGCAGAAACTATGCAATTAATAAATAATAGTTATCAGCAAATATTTACTAATTACAAATTGGAGATTGAAAGAATAAATGTCATTATTAAACAAAATATTTATAAAACTGCTGTACAAATAAAAGTAAAACAGGATAAACAAGATTTATATCTATAAAAGTTACAAAAAATAGAAAACATATAAAAGCAGAAGGCAATTATATAACAAAAATAAACAAAGACTTACAATAAATTCTATTGAATAAAGCTAATTTGTCTTTAGAATCTATAACTTAAATATTGCACTAGACAAAATACAAATCATATAAGTCAACAATTGTTAAAGAGCAAATATTAAAACAACTTAAAGCATATAAATAATTTACTGTATTATCCAAGAAAATTGTTAATAAGTTAGTTAAAGAATTATAACAACATATTTATTATTAAATATTACAACAGATTTGATATTGATAGTATAATCGACACAAAAAAATAAAGTATATAAAGTTGGAATAAATAAATGAGTAAAAAAATTAAAAGTGAGATTAGAATAAGTGATCTACTTATAATAAAACTGTTTTTCTTAATTTTTCTTGTAGTATTTATAATGTATAATCTTTTCAAGAATGTATTTCATTAAAAACTCTTATCTTGGTACAGTTAATAAATTATTTTTTATTTGAAAATTTTATAACTGAAGAATAATTTAGCAAAAGAAAATAAAAATGTTTACTGTTTTTAAAGATATTGTATTTTATAAAAAAACATTGATTTGAGGTATTCTATATATTATTTTATTTGTAAAAACTTTCTCAATAACTTTGTTTTAAATAGTTTACTTGTTTTTGCTAAGACTCTATAAGAAACTGTTAAAATATAATTATATTAATTTATGCAATTGACAAAAATCATGTGATAAAATATTAGATATGAAAATTTCATCAGGAAATTTTTGAGCAGAGGAACTCTATATATCTCTGCATATCTCCGCTCAAAAAATTTCCTGATGTTATATAACTGATATATAATATTTTTATTTATCTTATATCAAAATCCATAGTTCTCTATTTAATATTATACAATCAGCAATTATAATATAGTAATAGAATTATTAATTATTATTTTAATATTATTTTTTTTTCCAATAGGTAAATATTATTACAATTAAATTAAAAGTTTGATTTTATATAATATTTTTTATTTTGACTTAATTTTAATTTATAATTATCAAAAAAATAAGAAATCTTATTTTTATATAACTGAACTTGATTTGATTAAAATTCAGATATTTGAATACTTTATATATAAAAAATCAATAAATTTATATAAATGAGTTTATATATATATTTCTTGTAAATATTAGATTAAAGATATATATTTAATGATTTGCAAATATTATTTACTATACTATTAATTATAAGTCATTAATAATATTTTTATTTATAATAGACAATTAATTAAAATAATTAATGAAATAAAAAATAATAAAAATTTAAACAAAATTTAATTTTTAATTTTTATAAATAATTATATAAAATAATGATTATTATTATTTTCAATTATTTTCAAAGATTATTTACTAAAAAAAAACTCTTTCCCATATGTAACTTTTTTTAAAAAATTTTTTTTTATAGTAATTTTTTCTTAAAATTAAAAAAATAAATATTTTTTTCACTTTTCAATATCCAAAAATCTTATATATTTTTTTTATTTTCATTACAAAAACATTAAGAAAATTAAAGAAATATATTGATGCATTAAAATAAAACCTCTGACAAAAAGAAAACAAATTTAGAGTCCTTGCTCTCTTCTTGAATTGTGTAAGAAAAGGTCTATAATAATTGTTTCTTTATAAAAATTTTTTAAAATTATTTTTATTTTTACTTTTATTAATATATATTTTTTATTAAATAAACAATTTTTTTTATTAATAAGCTGTTTTTTTTATTTCAAAAATTAAACTTAACATTAATATTGTTTATATAGCTAATTTGAAATACTAACAATATATTCAATATTTATTTCTTAATATTATTTAGTATATAATACTATATTACAAAAAATTTTCTATTAAAAAACTATAATCAATTTACTTCTGTCAACTGATTAATATTTTAAACTCAACTAATTAAACATTATCAATTTTATAAACAAATTTATATAACCAAAATATTATATACTAATCAATATAAATAAAATATTTTCTGATAATAACAATCAAAATAAAATCACATTATCAACAAACAAACTAATTAATAATCATATAATCACAATAACAATATTACTATTACGACCAATCAACTATTAAAAAAATATATTATTAACACTATTATATACTTTGGACAGTAATCTAATTATTTTTAAAAGTGCAATTATTGTATTTCAATTAAATGAAATTATTAATGAAACATGTTTAATAATTTTATTTGAAACATTTATAATTTTACAATTAGTTTTTTGTATCTATTTTTTTGGTTAGTATTTTCTTTTTTTCTTCAATTTTTCATTTCTTATAATCTTTTTATATATAAATCTGAGTAGATATTTATAACTGCTTGATACTATTTTAAATATGTAATATTTTAATATTTATTTTTTATAGGAAAGCTAGCATTAGACTTATTAGCTTAGCAAGTTATATAAGAGATGTTGTCACTTTCTCCATATATAAATTTTAAACAATTATATAATTAATAAAATGATAATATTTACTTACTTAAAAAATAAATAAATAAAGATTATTTGCTTTATAATAAAAAAATTATTAAAAAAAGATATGTATTTGGATAGATTTTAGATTACAAGATTTTTGTAAAGATTATTATTATAGAAAAGAATTTTTAAACAAAAGAAAAAACTTTAAAATCTTATAAATTATAAATAAAAGTCAAATTGAAAAAAAAATTAATACAATAAAAAAATTTTTTAATATGTATTCAAAACTTTTTCAATATACTGTATAATCAAACATCTTTATAACGATATTTTTATATAATTTTGTTTACCTGTTTACTAAACTTTTGTTTTAAAGTATTATAATTTATCGATAATCATGTGATTTTGCGTAGTTTAAAAAAACCTAGCACAGATCATTTCTAGATAATCTTTTACATTTTCGTGTCATGTTGATTACGCCCAATTGGTTTGTTTTGATCAAACCTTCTTTACGAAAATTTAATTCAAAAAAATTTTCCGAACAAATTTCCCGATGTACAGTGTGGGATCGAGTCCCAATTATTAATAAAACACCATTTTACACATGTTATCAATTCCAAAAACAAAACATTCACGAGTCACGCATAAAACACTTTTCAACAGCGTCTCATTCTGAATTACAGACCGGAAATTCAACTTGTGAAAATACAAGCATAGAGAATGCTATGGGGACAATTAAGAATAATCCTGTAAAGTCAACTCGGCTTAATAATCCACACGCAGGGGTTGTCAAACCGTCAAAGAAGTCCAAGGTTAAAAAGGTTCCCATCACCGTCGAGAAAGTTGAATCCCATTCCAAGGGTAAAGGGGCTCCTACCACTGTTGAGAAAGAAGAATCCCATTCTCAAGTTGCAAATCAGAAATTGGCAAAACTTAAGGATGCAAAAGTGACATTTAAACGCGCATACTTCGGCTTCAAATCAGTGATTGAAGCAGATGACGAAAAGCTCGTGTGGTCAGCGTACAACGACTGGAAGGAAAGTCGCAAAATAATTTACAGTAGATTGATTGATTATTATGTTGATCTTGGACTCTTGGATAAAGCGTTTAGTGTTCTTAATGATTTTATGCCAAACAAACTGATGCCTGATAAGTCGAGTATTTCGGATCTTTTTCAAGAGAGCATTTCGCTAGGTTTAATTCCGGGTTACGTAACTTGTAAAAATGTGATGTATAAATCATCCGATTTACAAGAAACCATGAAATTGTATAAAATATTCAAACGTGGTGGTGTGACATTCAAGAGGAATGTATATGACATGATGATCCAAAAAACTAGAAGGGAGAGGAATCCACAATTACTTGACACATTTTATCGGGATATGGTTCAACTTTGCTCTGAAGAATTAGATCAAGTTGGTAAGAATTGCTTGCAACTCATTGA